GAGAGAGAGAGAGAGAGAGAGAGAGAGAGAGAGAGAGAGAGAGAGAGAGAGAGATCCTGTATTTGGCAGTTGTGATCACGGATTGATAGTCAGCCGTCGCGATACCCAATCTCTGAGGTACGCAACCCTTTCGCGTAAAGAAAATTGAGCTCATTCATGCCTAAAGGAAATTGAGCTCACTCTGCCGCTGATGTCTTCCATATCGAATAGAAAGCACGGCACGGTCATTATAGCTCTGTAAGGCAATTATCAGGCCAGACTCGCTTATAAAGGCTGTGCCTTCAGGGTAATTATAGCTGTGCCTTCACGGTACTTTTTTTTTTTTTTTTTTTTGAGCTTCACGGTACTTATAGCCGTGCCTTCACGGTCAATCATCATGCAAGTCACGGCACGGATATAAAGGCCCTGCCTTCTACTCGAAGGAAGATGAAATGGGCCCATTCTCCCGGGGGATGGTCCCACTAGCAAAGAGGATGGGATCGAATGCCTGAATCTGGACGAGGTTATGGAAAGGTGCAGGAAATCGAGATTGAACTGCTTTTCTGCATCTCTGGGTAAAACACATCCAGATTCAGGAGCTCGATCCTATCCTTTTTGCTAGTGGGACCTCGGCCCCGGTGTCCGCTAAGGTTGCAGCACTGCTCGCGCAAAGAGCAGAAAGACAGTTGCAAATTTTTCAAATTCGGCAAACTGAAGAACCATGCGCCAAAAAAAAAAAAAAAAGAAGAAGAAGAAGAAGAAGAAGAAGAAGAAGAAGAACTATGCGCCGACACGGGGCCAAGTCCCACTAGCAGCGTTGAGTTTCCTCAACGCACTAATCTGGACGTGTTTGTGGAGATGTGCAGAAATGGCGTTGAGTTTCCTCAACTGCACATCTAGGCAAACACGTCCAGATTCAGGCATTGAGGAAAGTCAGCGTTGCTATTGGTAGTGGGACTTGGCCCCCGGTTTCCAGAAGGTGCGGCTCCCCACCCATAGACTCGAGCATGCAGCGGTGGGCTACTACCGGTAGGGGCCAAGTCGCACTCACTTACGCTGCTTCTCCACTTCGAATCCGGCCGTCGATCTTCATCATCTACCGTCACGGTGAGGAATTGAGAATTTGGGTAGATGGACTTGGTCCCAGGAGGTGGTGCTCTTATCACCCCGACTGGTATTCCGAGGCTGGTTGCCAACAACAACAACAACAACAAAAAAAAAAAAAAAAAAAAAAAAAAAAAAAAAAAAAAAAAAAAAAAAAA